TACAATAAAAATCTTCAGTAAGGCATGACCCTTTCTTGACACATTTTATGGCTATAATTACTCTCCAATAATAAAGCCCCAGAATGAGGTTTGTTTTGCATAAAAGCATCTATCAGATGACATGTAACCATGCTTATGTATCCTGTTTTTACTACCCGCTTCCCTAAACCCCGCTGCTGTAGTCATAGTAGTCACCTAGTTAATATTTTGTAAACTTACCTGAACCATTCATAAAGCTCTGTGTCGACGTAAAGTGCAAAAACGTTTAACGTCTCTAATCTCCATCTCGATAGTTAGACTTGGATAATTATTCATTGTCATAAGGTATTATTAAACCTCGCTCTTGTGAAGCATTAATTTATACTTCAGTTAGGTTCCCCCTTTTTTGTTAATACGTACGCATTCTTTCCTATCAACCCTCAGCGCAAAATGCCGTGAAATATTTATGATCACTGATTCTGAAAATCTAAGTTAACTCAAACGCTGTGAAATTAACACTTTTTAGCCAATGTATTGAAAGGCATTATAATTCGCCTGATGAAAACTTGGTTTCCAGTTGTGAATGATTTAATCGCATTGTAGAAGTTTGATAAACTACCAGTAATATTTAACGTTAACGTTACCTCAAAAAAAGAAAAAATTTAAAAGCGTGTGGAGTTATCTTAAAACATTATTGTTGCATTTAATCTGACAATGACTGCATTTTTATAATATATCATACGATTTTTTACTGAAATTCTTACCTTTTAACGAGCTTTGGAAACAAGTCAGTCAGTCCCCTCATGTGTCCTTTTCCATACCAACGGTCCTGGTTTTCAAAGCGCATGCGCAGACGCTATAGTGCACGTTGCTCCCGCGCAAACGACGTACTTCACAAAACTGAATTAGATTAATTGTACGCAATGGAATTAAATTGAGAAGAAAATGCAAAGTAATTGTGTGACATGAGCTCATTTTAATTAAGTAAATCAAACAGCAGAAAAAAATAATTTAACGTGAACACCATTTGTTGGAAATCTGAATCAGTTTGAACATTTTCTTGCAAAGTGATTATATCATGTTTTGATGACTGTGTTGAATTTAATTTAGACTTTATGCAATAAATTTATGTTTGCATCTCAAACATACATTTATTAAGCAGACTGTAAGTATTGTTTTAGTAAATTCAGTAAAACTGCTTTTCCCTTTTTTCAGTGTATGGTTTTACAGTCATGGTTGGCATTTTATGGTCTACAATAAAAATCTTCAGTAAGGCATGACCCTTTCTTGACACATTTTATGGCTATAATTACTCTCCAATAATAAAGCCCCAGAATGAGGTTTGTTTTGCATAAAAGCATCTATCAGATGACATGTAACCATGCTTATGTATCCTGTTTTTACTACCCGCTTCCCTAAACCCCGCTGCTGTAGTCATAGTAGTCACCTAGTTAATATTTTGTAAACTTACCTGAACCATTCATAAAGCTCTGTGACGTAAGTACCACCTTTTCTGCAGGGTAAGGTTACGGCCTGTCCCATCTTCATCAGTGCAACAAAATCAACAGCAGCAGAGATGCATATATAGCAAAGCCCAGCTTACTTCTCTCACTTAATCATTCTTACCCAGACCCTTCTACATCTGTGAAATTAAACGACAGTAATCTTCCCCCACAGGAGGCCGACATGTAGGCAAGTGACACAAATTAATTACCTCAAAGACACATGAAATCCTCTAGCTTCTCTGGTCCCAGTCTAGGACTCGGTGTAATATTATATAAATTGACGGTTGCAGCTCTATATTTTCCTTTTGAAGTGAAAAATGTGTCATTTGCTTGAGAGCTGACTTGTTCTGGTGACCTAGTTAACAATTAGTATAAACGATTTTGCGCATGCAGCTGAGAAAGCTTGTGAATATTCTCAGAAATATGAATGGGGACACAAAAGCCATCAAAGATGCTCATGGACGATTGCGGTTTAGCTAGATTCATCATGAGTCAGCATTGTTCTCATTACTGATTTAACCACTGAATGCATTCAACAGCTTAAAGTAGCGTGAAGGTGAACGGTTAAGTTTTATTGATTTCCTGTCTTAGAATGAGAATTGGAATCACAGGAAGAGGAATTTACTGAAATGTAATTGGAAGAAACTGGAGGGATTTCATTAAATCAACAAGTTCTGATACAATTTTGATTGGTTAAGGCAATTTTTTTGCTGATATGCATAATACAATAATACGTTTACATATTTTTAATATAAATAAAAATATTAATATTAATATATTTAATTAAATCAATATATTTAAATTATCTTTTTCTAAATTAATTTCAAACATGACACGTGACAGATCAACACAGATGTACAGGAAACTAATGTTGTTTATTTAAGAATCTTTTTACATGTCAGCCTGGAGAGACAGATTCTCTGCTACTAACCAGACCTGTGGACAGTAGCAGCGATGGCGTCATACAAATGCTTGATAACAAACAGAGGACGATAAAGCAAAAGACAAAAAAAGGGCCTGCCTGGACAAGATGCCCCGTTCCATAACAGCCTTGGTCAAAGACTCAGACAAAGCGACGAGGAGGTGCAAGCATGCCGATCTGGAGGCTCGACCCAGCAGCTGCTTCCCGACTGAGATATTCACGGAAATGATGAACAGTCTTCAGGGTATCCAAACCACTTTCATCACACACTCAAGACAGACAGAAACAAAGGGAAATAGAACAATGAGCAAGTCTTTGTCTGTCTTATAAGGCAAAAACCTTTATCCAATACCCTTAGATAGCTAACAGAACAAAAAAGTAGTAAAGAAAAGCAAAGGGTACACAAAAAGGCATGCATGAATGAATATTACTGGAACAATATAAAATCAAAAAATTTGCAGTCTACACAGAGTGAGAGCTGAAATTAGGACAAAAGCGACATAAGAAAAGGTCTGTGTTTCTAACCTACGTACAGTACTTGATTTCTGCCAAGTGCAACTGAATGACACTCCAAACAGAACATAGTCACAATAAAGGAAAAGGTCACTCAAAAAATAAACATTTGCTGAGAATGTACTCACCCTCAGGCCATCTAAGATGTAGATGAGTTTATTTCTTCACCGGAAAAGATTTGGAGAAATTTGGCATTACATCATTTGCTCACCAATGGATCCTCTGAATGGGTGCCATCAAAATGAGTTGATAAAACAATACAATTATCCACAACAAAATCTACACGGCTCCAGTCCATCAATTAACATCTTGTGAAGTGAAAAGCTGCATGTTTGTAATAACGCATGTAATAATCCAATAATCCTCCATCAATAACGTTGTCTTCTTCAGTGAAAGTGTCAATCTCATCTGAATCAGGAGAGAAATGTGCACAGATCAAGCACAGTTTACAGTACAAGCAAAGACAGTCCAAAAACAGTTCTTAACAAATATGTTGGTCTGTTTTACTGTGGGAGGACAACAGGAGATGGACTTCACCGTAGGAAGCATTATTATGGGCTCACATCTTGGTCAGAAGCAAGAGTTTAAAGTTAAAACACCTTAATGATGAATTTATTTGTCACTTCACAACGATGCCAATTATCTGACTGAAGTCGTGTGGATCACTTGTGGATTTTTGTGATGCTTTTATCAGCTGTTTGGACTCTCATTCTGACGGCACCCATTCACTGCAAAGGATCCATTGGTGAGCAAGTGATGTAATGCTAAATTTCTCCAAATCTGTTCCGATGAAGAAACAAATTCATCTACATCTTGGATGGCCCGGGGGTGAGTAAATTAAGGAATTTTTCATTTTGGGGTAAACTATTCCTTTAAAAAAAAACAGTGAAGCTATGTGGGGGAGTGGGAAACAGAATCAGAAGTCTTTGTACATCTTTTAGGACCAGTCTGCAGTTATGGCACAGCGCAACGCTTGTACATTGGGGCAAACAAAGAAGCTGTTCCCGTGCTTAAGGCTACAACTGCCCAATCAAAATCCCTAACTTGACATCTTAGGAGAATTGTGATTGGCTAACACATCTAACCACCTGTGTGACAAGCACTTACAGTTGATCCCATGAAATTTCAGTCAGGTTTAAAGAAATACCCCATTTATATTTCTAGGTAATATGTTAAGTTTGCAAAGCCAAGCGTTGGATGAACAATGGATCATGGCAAGACTTATTTTTACACTAAAAACCCTTAATGTGCACATCACCCAGCAGTAAATCATTTCAGTTGACTGGGTGGGTGGCATCCTCCCTTCAAGTAAGCTCTTGGCAGCATGTGACAGTAGACAATGATATGAACACATTTTTTAAAAGCAGCTCACACCACAGTCACAGAATTACAGAACATCTGACAGCATAGGGCATGCAGCTGAGCGTTAAGGGTACTTATGTCTGCGGTCAATTTGCTTTGGTATAATCATTCAGAATCGGCCGTTTCCATCACGCAAGGCCATGAGACTGCTGTGGCACATGTGCACTGTCACAATAAAGTAGTTCAATACACTGATCAGCTGTATGAAAGGTCACCAGTATGAAGGGAAGCAAAATTTTGGAAGAAAATTTGCAAAATCAGATACAAAGCCATGCTGAAATGAGAATTCACTGAGGTATCTGCATCACAGGGGAATCAGATGACTTTTTTTTTTATTTGTGATTGTGAGAAATTTAGAAAGAGAAAATCAGAGAGAGAATCCGCATCCCAGGGGAGTGCACACAGAATAAGATCTCAATTATACAAAATAGGGAATAATTTCAAGAAATGGCATCTGATAGCATAACTTTAACAGCCTAGGAAGATCATCTGCCCAAAAAGAGGTGTCATGTTTCTGAGATTTTAGCCCTTTAAAAAAAAAATAGGCTTAAAACTACATGGGACATTATCTTTTGATTTATCTATTTAAAGATTAATTTAACACCATTTAAAAATGGTAAAAACATGTTCTTGGGTCTCTTCTTCAGTTAAAGTAATAGTTCAGCCAAAAATTACATTTCCAGCAAAGGTTGTTCAAAACCAGTATGACTTTCTTTCTTCCTTATGACTGGAATGCACTACATGACTTTTAAAATCAGATTTTAAATCACCAGGCATCATACACTTGCAAACTTTGTAAATGGTTATAGAAAAAACTGGACATCATATACACTGAATGACTGAAGATTGCTCACTACCAGACTTCATAGTCATTCTGAACACAACAAACTCATGAAGAAAACCTGCCTCATTGCAATGAGAGAGATGACAAATGAAAACAATGTGCTCTAAAATCGGCTCAAAATGTTCGATATCTTCCAAATGCATGGAATCATATCCTGATGCTAGAAAATCTAAATCTGTATCAAACAACACGTGATTTCATGTGAATCTACTAAATCTGCAGGCTGGCTCTGACTTTCAGCAAATAGCGTAGACTCCTCGAAACTGTAAATCAGGGTAAAAATCTGGGCAAAATCTATTAGTAGTGTATTCCAGCCTTAAGGTAAATGCAACACTGAAACCGAGAAAATTGAGTAAATTAAATGGGAGATCTATGAAGGGGGAGTTGGACTTGCAATATAGCACACAAATTTTATGAACTACGTCTATGGTGCTTTTTAGTCCTTACTGATGCTTGAAAGCCCATATGGTCACCATTGACTTTCATTACACGGAAAAGAACAGTGAACATTCTTTTAAACATCTCCATTTGTGTGTTCCATGAAAGAGAATCATACAGGTTTGGAAAGACATGAGGGTGAGTAAATGATAAACAGACTGTTCATTTTAGGGTGCATTATATCTTCAAAAGTGACTTCATGTTGGATTTGTATTAAATACCTTCTTGAAGCAGGAAGAATGTGAAAATACATCTCCCTATTACTCTGTTGTTGTTTTACTCTATAAAAAGTGATTTTGTTAGTACTTTGAAGTTGAGTAGAGATTAAATTATTCCCATACTTAAAATTATGGGATATAATTCCAAAATACAGTTTAAACAATAATCACCCTCTAAATGTTGATCACCTAAGCATGTTATACCTCTTTGCACATAACTGAACAAGAAGAACTAATGAAAGAATGAAGCCCTGAACAATGTATAAGTCTTAAACACCACCTTAACTCGAGTGTCTAAAAAGTGGTACTTTGCTGATCCGCTAAAGGATTTTGAGAAGGGGTTTCCATGAATTGTTCCCTGAGAGACCCTGCCCTTATTAGTTTCCAATCCCCATTATACCTGTTGCTGATCTCCATCCAGAAAATCTTTCAGAACAGCAGATCTAATACATCTACCTAAGGGGGCAACAACATTGTCCCAGGTCCTCTATAATACAGCTTACTCAATGGGCCCCATCAGTAAAAATGCTGTCCCAGGCCTTGTAAATCTTAGTGACGGCCCTGTTTCAAGAGAAGCATAGCCCTGGCAGGACAGGCGAAGGTCTGAAGGAAAAGTACACATTCACACACAGGTTTGTAGACTAGAGAGGAAAAAACAAATGTCAGGCCTAACGGTGATCCTCTAATTTCTGATTTTTCCACAGTCTTTTCAAGTAGTTCTGTTTGACAAATGACCACAAGCACTTACCAATACCCCTCCCTGTTGTTCCACTTGTTCATCAAAAAACATTGAATTTGAGACGATTTCTGCTCTAAAAGGGTAAAATAACTACCAGGCTTCCCTTGCCAAAGGAATCCCATGACGTTTTTATAAAAAATAAATTCAGTCCAGTTTTGCCTCAAAGCATCAGTTCAAGTGTTGATTGACTAAGGAAATAGTTTTGAAATCCTTATGCCACTGGATCACAGTGGACTATTTGGGTTCTTGCCTTATGGCTTGGCTGAGGCATGTGTTTCTCAACATGGCAAAACAGGCCAAGAACGTCTCTCTGTTCTGATCCATGCCAATGGGCAGACGTGACCTCAGAGCTGAGATGAAGAAATGCACACCAGACCACATAAAACCTGGTCCTGTTGCTTAAGGTACTCAGCTTAAGGTACTAAGAGAGACGCCCATCCCCTTCGGTTCTCCTTCACCAAGGGCAGCCATCAGATAACCTGCCATGCAGCGTGTCCAAACGCATTAAAAAAACACTAATAAATTAAAAACATAAGTCAGAGAATTGTCAAAGGCTTGCGGCCCCCGTGAAAATGAACGGATGATTCATTTTAAAAAGCTCCAGATAAGATGGGTCTTAAAAAAAAAAAAATAAAAAAAATTGGAGCATGTTCACAGAGACCAGTGCATATCGTCAAAATCCACGGCCTCACCCAGGTTGGCATCTGTTTCCAGTAAGCTCATAATGACTGCCATGGCTGCCTCGTCAGTGCTCAGAGCACCCAAACCAGGAACCCCCTCCAGATCCAACTGAGAGCTCCCCTCTGAAGGGCAGGAAGAGAGGCAGAGAATGAACGAAAAAGTACCATATTTGAAAAATTAAATAAAATAAAAAAGGACAAAACATTTACATTTAATATAAGAAAAATTACAGATTTTAGTTGAATAAATATGAATTTACTTTAAGAAAAATAGCATTATATCTGCCTTTAAATATTTATCATCATTTACTAATTAAATTAAGTATATGTGACCCTGGAGCACAAAACCAGTCATAAGGGTCAATTGAGATTTATACATTTGAAAATCTGGAATCTGAGGGTGCAAAAAAATCAAAATATTGAGAAAATCGCCTTTAAAGTACTACAAATGAAGTTCTTAGCAATGCATATTACTAATTAAAGTTTTAAGATATTTACAGTAGGAAATTTACAAAATATCTTCATGGAACATGAGCATGATTCTCATAATTGTAACCCATATATTTCTGTATTATGAAAATTATAAAAAAGTAAAATAAAAGTATAAAAAGTTTACACAATGGAAAAAATGTTTGGACAAGAATTGTCACCAAAATAATGTCACAATGCAAAAAGTCTTAAATGTTCCAAAAGCAGGCTTAATTTTTAATATACAAAACTTTTTTTCCAGGGAAAGACCCAGACATCATCTTGACGAGCTTTAGCATCTTAGTATCACATGGCCAATGTAATATAATGCTGTGACATCTACCCATCAGATTTTCTCCTGCTGTGAAGGCCCCACCCCTCGCTTCCTCCTCTGAGCTTGATTTGCCAGTCATCTCCACATCTGTTGCTTCCCCATTTGGCACCTTAAAGCATGAGGAGTACTGTTAGAACGCAAGAAACCATAAAACTAATAAACTAATTTCTAAACACACAGACACAGTTGTTTGACAGACTCACGTTGCTGCTGGCCTGCGCAAGGGCCAGTGAAGACTTGTCCTGCGGTAAACTGAATGGACTTGTATTGCCGCTGGATGGTGAGGAGTTCATCCTTAAGAAAACAGCATGGCATCAGAATTCAAAGATCTTTCCTTTAGGGATGTGCAGAACTACATATTTTCAAAATCAACTAATTAACACAATGTTTCCAAGAAGCTTTGGCCATGCAAACTGTCTGACAGCTAAAGCAGAGTAGGATAAAACAGTGCTGCTAACAATATCAAAAGTAATATTTGAAAGGAAAAAACAAATCATCTAATTGAAAAAAACATCACTAATTAACTAGTCGTTTGTTGGATGACAAGTTAACCCATCCTAAATTTAAATTCCTTAAATTTTCTTCACTTGTAATACTTCACTGTAAATTACACCAAATATAATAACAGAAAGGAAGCAACATAATTGGTTTACCTATTATAGTCCATTATCTCATTAGCAATTTGGGTCCCTATGCACCCAGCGTAAATCATGCCTGATGCACTGGAGATCCCTGGGATGATTGGAACTTGTTGGGACTTCTTGGCATCATCTACAATACAAAACATACAAATTTACTTAAAAGAGTTGGATATATTTAGAATTTTTGACAACAGAGAGCTTGCTTAACACAGGGGGGGAAAATTATGTCTTTTTGTTGATGTCCTTAGCAAGTGGACTCTGCAGCCACCTTGGTAAAGTCCTCTGAGTGAGCTTTTATGTAAGCAAAAGGCATACAGTGCCTACGTAATCCTATTGCTATTGAAAATCTCCAAAACTGTTGTCAATATTATGCTTCATAATACATTTCTAATCAATAGTAAAATCTGACAGTGATAACATGAATTTTGCATATTTTACCGATTTTAAGAAAATTCAGGTGGTTCCAGCTAATGCACAAAAAACAAACAAAACAAAAGAAAACATACCAAACTAAAACCACCAAACCAAAAAAAAACAACAACAACAAAAACAAAATAAAAGGTCATGCATCCATATCAAACAAAAACTTATTAACTGGAAGGCTGGACTTGCATTCATACATTTGCTACACTGAACAATGTGTTCTGTCTTTTCCTTTATATATGGTTTCACAATGCAATATGCAAATTATAGGTACACGCCTAGGAACAAAACATACTGTATTTATAACATTCATAGATCTCAATACTCACCCTCCGAGGCCTTGGAACTGCTAGGCTGCTCGGCTTTATCCCCTGATCCACCTGGATTACTTTTACCGCTGAGTCAGGCGGAAAAAGAGTCGAGAAATAATCTCTCTCACTGATCACAGAATTTGGGTGCGACAGGTTGAATCATGACATTGATATGCAGTAATAGGAAAACTGGCCTGGTAGAAAAATAAGATGAAATGCTGGTACTTACGATATAACTGTGTTGGTTGACACTATGTATTCTATTTCTTTGGTCCAGGGATTTATAAAACTAAACCACTGACTTTGTAAGGTGACGAAGGAGCCATATTTCGTTTTAAACTTATAGCAGTTTGTCTCAATCTTCTCTTTACTTCTCAGCACTGTGAAAAGAGGTGATCAAAATGAAATAATTAAGGAATACATTTTCTTGTCATTCACTCACAAAACCAGTCATTCCAATGCCATATTGCTTTTTATTTGTGACAGAATACAGAATTGTTGTTGAATGTACTGATTTGCATCTAATGAAAGTAAATGGGGATCCAGGCTGTCAAGCTCCAAAATGACCAAAGGATAATAAAAGCAGTCAATATGACTTGTGTGCTTTATTTTAAGAGCTTGACAGACCCTAATTCACTATCATTAGATGGAAGAGTAGTCAATGGAATAGTAGTACTTTTCTTCTTATCATTTTTCCACAATACAAAGAAACTTATACAGGATTGGAATGAGTAAACAAAGAGTTTTCCATGTGAAACTCAGAAAAGGTATTAATTGTCACATTTATTTGTATGTGCATGTAATCCAGTATAACTCTCTTGAGGCACTGGCCTTGTGTATCTGCCATTGAAAGCTGTGCTAATGTTCTTTAGAAGCAAGACTAATGATTAATGATGGATGATGAGGATTTGGCTACTCGTGTCCTTTGTACAAATGTCTCGGGCAATCTGCCCAGTTTCTTGGAAACTACTTTCAGCACAATCTGTTTAGAGCCCCAGTGTTCCTTATAGTAAGAACCTGGATGCACTGTACCTTTTTGGTGTCTATCTGCCAAATGAGGCAGGTCATCCAGATGGAAGTATTCATAGCAGGATGTGCCTAGCAGCTCCTGGGGTAAGTAACCCAGAATGGTGGTGGCTCTGTATGCACAATATAAATAGAAAGCAGCATTTAAAATCACATTTCTCACTATGAAACTAAAAAAGGAGAAGAGAATAATCTTTTTGAGACAACTTTAAGTAATCGATCGGTAAGTTGATTTCCCAGAGAAAGTGCCACAGTGTTTACACCATCAAAACATTACTCTTTTTATTTGAGCATCTAGGCCAGGGGTGGGCAAACTTGGCCCTTCCAGGCCACTTTCCTGCAGAGTTTAGCCTAACCCTAATCACAAGAACATACTTGGCCACATGTCACGTCACAAATCTCTGCAGGAAAGTGGCCTGGAAGGGCCAAGTTTGCCCATCACTGATCTAGGCTATCCTGACATGACAGCATCGGCTAAACCAGTGGTAAGAGTTTGTGGCAAATCTGCATGCCTGACCAATGGCAGATGTCAAGAGTGTTTTTTTTACAAAAAACAGTCCTTATATTTGGAACATCAGAAATTATTTAAAGATCTACATTATCATCAAACAATATCTAATTTGAGCCGTTAATAAAGCTTAAAAAATGAGTTTTTAAATAATAATTATATAAAATTATTTGTATAATTTTTATACTTATAATTTTATGTAACCAAGTTCATATAACTTGTATAGTTTACTTAAAAATACTGTTAGTTATTCCACAAAATTAACTATTATCTCTATAACAAATAACTAAATACAACTCTCTCCCTTTAACAATTGGTAAACTAACACAAGTTTTATATATTTATTATTTTTTATATATTATTTTTTTATCAAATATTGTATATAATAATTACTTAAAAATAATTGTATCAAATATAAATTAATATATGTAATTTATATAGACTACTAAAGCAATCCTTTTTAAAGTTAATTACTCCCCAACAGATAGTTAATATTGACAAATAGTTAGTTAACTATTATCTGAACAACAAATACCTAAACGTTGTCCCCCTTAACAAGCGGTAAACTAAATACAAGTTTTGAAAAGGAAACGCATGTCGCCCTCTAGTGAGAATGAAGTGTCCATGTACAGTCAACTTACTACTGAATGGTACTGGAAGAGGGAAAGTTATGTGGGTAATTACATACTGTGGAGCTAGTTTGCATAAATGACTATGATTATGCACAAAAAATTGTCAGTAACAAAAATTCACATTTAGTTATTCCCCCCAAAAAAAAGTCAACTTACCGTTGATCCACAAATGTGAATTTGCCATCCATGGCGCAGCGGGTGACAAATTCGGTGGGCTTGACCTTGATCTCTCCGTTGGCCTGCGGGAGGGTGTGGGGGTGCGTGCGGCCCACTGCTACAAGGCAGCTGAAATGGGAGCTCTCTTTATCCGCCTCAGCCTCCCCCTCCGTGCCTAGCTGGTGCGTGGGCCAGGTGCGCATGTAGCCCGTGCAGTGCACAGTGCAGTACCGCTGTGACTCTGTTGGGACAGTCAATCAAAACAGAGTCACTTTACAGGTGAGCTGCGAGCCAAATGTTCCACCATATGCTGTTAACGAGGAACACAAAGGTGCACGTTTCATTCCTTTTTCGATTTGCTTGATTTAATCTAAAAACGGGCTGTGACAAGCATCTCACAAATTGTGCCAAATGTGATATGTAGCAAAGCTTGAATATAAGCTTTTGCTCAACATGTTGAACTTACTGTAATTTTGAAAAACTAGCTTATAATGCATGTTCAATGCATAGAAATCAATGCATGGCTTTACAGGGTTGCCTGAACAACTAACTGCTCTGGTCAGTTTGGAAAAGGCCATGCTCACCAAGAACAGAAACGTCAATGCTGTCCAAGTCCAGACAGCACAGCAAAACACTTTCCAAAGTGAAGTCACTATCCAACAACTTTGTAGGAATAAAGCTGTTGGAATGAAATCCCACAAGCCGTGCTTACACCACTGCATGTGGCGAGAAGAAAGAAGAAGAGATGATTGTGTAATGAAGTAAATATGCAGACCACGGCATCAACACGTCACAAATGAATCTTGGACCTTTGGTTCTCAGCAAGAACAGAGACATTGCCAGTCTGAAGCCAAGGAAATAGAACCTTTATTTAACTTCTATTTTCTTTCTCTTTTTTGTTACAGAGCAATCGTAACAGATTTCAGTAATGGGTTTCATCACAGTGGATTTGATTGCATGAACACTAGGCTCTTCTGATTCACTTAATGTCATCATTAGAATTGGAGAACCATCTTTAGCAACTTCACTGTAAAAACAGGATGAGCTCCTGATGTATCCTGACTGTAATGTTACTGACCGTTCTTTTTTGAGGCCCCAGCCTGAAAGACCTTCTCCTGTTTGATGGTAACTTTGTTGTACTTCATTCGGCAGAAGAATGAGCGCCGGGCCCCAGAGCAAAGCCGAGCTGCTCCGACGGGGAGCTCAGTCTGCACCTGCAATCCCGCTGCACATAAACACCGAGAGAGTCAGACTGGTTGAAGGAATGGTTTTCCCAAAAACGCAAATTTTTGTTATTTACTCACCTTCATGTTGTTCCAAATTTTTTACCCAAAGCAATCCTACGGTTTTGGAAAACCTGGACTACTTTTATTGTGATTTGTGCCAGGAAATAGTTTTGAAACGTGTGGGAGAGTAAATAATCAACTACGAATGAATAAAGAAAAAAAACAAAAAAAAAGTCTGAGGTTGGTAAGATTTTATATTAAAGACATTAAATTGATCAAATGTGACAGTTAAGACATTTATAATGTTACGAAAGATTTCCATTTCAAATTCTGTTCTTTTGAACATTATATTACTCAAAAATGTATCACGGTTTCCACAGAAATATTAAGCAGAAACACTGTTTTCAACATTGTTCATAATAATAAACGTTATTTGAACACCAAATCAGCATATTAGAATGATTTCTGCAGAATCAAGTGACACTGACTGGAGTAATGGCTGCTGAAAATTCAGCTTTGCATCACAGGAATAAATTACATTTTTAAAATATATTAAAATAGAAAGAAGTAATTTTAAATAGTAATAATATTATAGGAATATTACTGTTTTTACTTTATTTTTGATCAAATAAATGCAGCCTTGGTGATCATAAGAGACTTCTTTCAAAAACAAAAATCGTACAAACCCCAAACATTTGAACTGTACATTTATTAAACAGATTGAGTACAATGTGTACGCAAGACATTCAACTGTATAAGCACTTCAGAAAAGCATTCTGGAAACACGCACACAAACTTAACACAGAGAACAACCGTTTATTACGGTCTAAGTATGTTTACTTTTGGCGTCGATGAGGCGCTCCCGCGGGTAGAGTTCAGAGGCAGACAGCTGTTCCTTCACTTTACCAATGTCCTTTGGATGAACATAATCAAACAGGCTCTGTCCAATTAACTCCGTCTGGGGAGAAAAACATTAAAACGAGTCATAATTTAACTAATACGTTTTTGCTAACAAGTCACATCATAAACCTAATCTTTTTTTCACCACGAAAAAAAAAAATGCTGTTTTTAAAACAGCCCTTAAAATACTTCAAAATACATGAACAGTAAAATGTTTGGACATCCTAGACTGATTTATGTTTCTTGTGATCTCATCATAAAACCTACTATTAACCGGAAATATTATGCTTAAAGGCTTGACTTTAGTTTTGTAGACAACATCGTGTTTCCAAAATTGAAGAACAGTTCAATTTTGGAAAATAACATGCGTAATCTCAAGAATTCCTGAAAGGTGCAAAAATTTTAACATTTTATATTTTATACATAGAGCGAGAGTGAGTCACTATATAAGTAGCACACTTGCTTTTTAAGTCATGATGACTTTACTATGATTCTATTATTGCTGTCCTCCACATTGTAAAGAATCAGTATCTGAGACTAATCCTCTTGTCTGGTAGTGTACTTCTGTTCATAATTATAGCACTTAATATAAAACATTCTCGGTGTTTATTTTTTTATAGTCAAACTGTCCTACCCGACTGTAGTTCAGGATTTTTGAAACCGATTCTGATACAAAGACTATTTTTCCACGGTCACAGCCAACCACAAAGAGAAATCCATCAGCAGCCTGGACAAGAGATAGAGAGAGATCATTTAGGGTTGATGTTGTAATTTCACAATCGCAAACAGTCAAACTGCCCTGTTTAAACACTAGCTATTTTTGGAGCCTCTTCTACCCACATCATCAATAATTTGCTGTGATATTTATTCTGCTATGTTACAAATAGCTTTAAGACACAGTTCTATAAATTATAGGATTTACCCTTAGGACAAGGTGTTTGAGCTCATCGTCTGGGAGGAACGGAAGTTTGTAATTGGTTTCTGCAAATGAGCTGCTTGCTCCTGAAAAACAGGCACTCCATTACCTCACATACATTCAAGAACATTCATCACTGTTTGTTTTGATGTAATTAGGTATTCCTGAAGAAAAATACATTTTCAAGTTCAATATTAGTCTTTGTGCGTGCTAGGCTACACAAAAAGCTAATTGTAAAGGCATTTGAGAGGTGTCTAGGTACCTTTGAGTGATTTGAGGTGCTGGACAGCCATTCGTAACACAGTGAGTTTGTCAAGCTTGCGGGACATGGGGTTACAGGTGGGTATCATCGCTGCCAACTCGTCAATCAAGTTATTCATCTTATCTCGCCGTCGTTTCTCAATCTGACTGTGAGGTTCTCTACAAGATGAAATTTACATTGTAAATACCACTGAACTCCACTGAGCTGAAATATAACGTCACTTAACAACAGTTTTTTTTTTGTGTTTGAGTCTCAATGACAATGGAAACTTCAAATTTAACTAAATAAAAATAAATGTAAATTACATTTAGTGTCAATAAGTACCTGACACACTTAATTTTTAAGTGCTGGTCAACTCCTTCCGATCTAAGAAAACATAATAATAAAATACATACAGGTGTTAAAAGTAATAAATATAAGGAGAGCCATATTGAGTATCGTAATGGGCTCAGTACCTTCTCTGATCGTCCTCCATATCCTCCTCTAGATTTGATGCAGATTTTGTTTCCCTGGAAACAAAGTGGTGAGATGATTAAAGTGACTCATGAAATGCTGCCATGATTCTAAGAGGACGTTAAACACAGACCACGCACTTCCCTTCCCAACGCATCTCGACTCATTCAGAAAAGCAGGACATGGGCCTACAGGCCAAACAAGAGGATATTAGTCATACAAATCATCTATAAAATCCCAATATCAAACATTAATGCGCTACACTCTCAAACCCACGCACATACTTTTTCAAGACACTAGGGCTGGGTGGTATGAGGATATGTAGCATGTATAGACATTTATGTGGGAAGGAATTTACTTTAATCACAAAGAAACATGGAGTATTGCAAAAATCAAAAAGCGGCACAGACAGGCAAATAATACGGCTGTACAACAACTTTTGAATAATTTAACATTCTTGTCTTTGGCAAATAACAGTTAATTTAACACGCACACACAAAAACACTTTTGAACAAATAAATGTAATTATTTTTAATTTCTTTGAATAATTATTTTTAAAAATTGTTTTTTATTCTTTAACATAAGATTCAAGTATATAAATAATTAGATTATTTACAAAAAGGCATTACCACACTGTTGTTTAATATATAAACCATTCAATCTTGAATTTATTCTTACAACAAAAATAACAATATAGTAATATATATATATATATATATATACAGTTACTGTCATATTTTTGTCAAACCACCAGTCTCTAGAGACGAATGTAAATATGTAAATATATAAATATACTCACGGGTTGTCCATGCTGCCTTTCCGTTTCCTGGGCAGCTCTATGCCTGAGGCCATACCGGCGGCTGAGGTGGGGGTCATCAAACCAGACAGAGACACAGAGACGCCCTGGGGTTCTTCCTCCAATGCGTCTCCTGCCAATGGTGGGAGGGATTTATTATAGTAAAGTGACAAAAAGAAACGTGCCAGAACACAACTACGTGCTACATATTGGAACCAGGGCACTGTGAAATAGATTTCATAACAGACATCTAAAGAATCAGACCATCTGTAATCGGCGGACAAACGATCAAAGGATTTTTGTGTGAATTCAGAGTGATACTTTTTGTCTGTGTGGTGATAATAAACAGGACATTTCTTATCTTGTGAAAGTCGTCTTAAAAGTGCAATCTTAAAACCCAGAAACCCAGTTTACACATGGTTCTTAGAAAGGAAGGTTTACCGAGAACTACTGGCCACATTGAGGCTGGGCGACCATGAGCACAATACAGACAACCTACTTCACATTCGTAAGAACTTGCATCACTCTTTCCTTCATGCACATCTATAGGCCTATTCAGACAAGGAGGAATACGTGACTTAATTTAAATATATGGTCTTCGGCTTCCTTTACAAACAAAGCTTTAAAAGAAGCCTTTATAGCAGTGTATCTATTTACATAATATCCAGCCTCCATTATTAAGGACAAAACAGCACTGTTAAACACTAAGATCATGCATCCGTTGAGTTAAAACAGCTTTTGAGTTTTGGCAAAAATCACTGAACAGCATTTATAGTTATTGTTGCAAATGAAAGCAAAGGACTTTGATGGAAGAAAAATGGTCAATTCAATTTCAGTTTTGGTTTCTATTAATCAAAATAAAATCAAAATGCCCTCGTGTGATTATTAAAATACAGAAGTGTGGAACTTAAATATATTCAAAGTGAAAGGGTAAAGGCTCCACACAAAAAATCTAGCAGGTGGCATGAGTCCCATACGTGGTTCACTTATAAAATGCATTGGGAACACAAAGTGCTTCATAAGAATCAAAAAGAATACAGAAACTCCAAAACTGCAAACAGAATCTCCCATTTTCCATCAAAATAACAACTCAAGGGTTTAACTGGGCAGAATGTAAAGAAATTTTTATTAAAATGTCACTATTGTGTGGTAAATTGCAATAATGGTGACAATAACAACAACAACAGAAATGAAAAATTAATTTCACAAAATGAAAATGTCATTATTATCGATTAAATTATTATTTTTATTGAAATACCAGCAATTAGTCCATGCTGAAGTAAAGCTACAATGTGAATGCAAAAAAAAATTATAATTATATCAACAATAATAATAATAATAATATAATAATAAGTTTAATCAGTAATAATTTATTTAATGGAAATATTTTTTTCATTTTTAGCATTATTATTATTATTATTGAAAATAACAACAACTAGTATGCAGAAGTCAAGCTACAATACGAATACATTGTGAATTCAAAAATATAAAATCAATTAAAAAAAAAACTTCACACAATATTATTATTACTTCAACAATAATAATAATAAAAAATAATAATAATAAGGTTTTAATTGGTATTTTAAGGACAGATTCTCACTATTCAGCATGAATATTACTAGCATATTGTCTGTTTATTAGTACTTATAAAGCACACATTAACGCCTTATACTGCATGACCATATTTTAGATCCCTTAATCCTATCCATACCTAAACTTAAAGGAACACTCCACTATTTTTGAAAATAGGCTCATTTTCCAACTCCCCTAGAGTTAAACAGTTGAGTTTTACCGTTTTCTAATCCATTCAGCCGATCTCCGGGTAATATCTAGCGTAATATCATTGCGCCTGCTGCACCCATGGTACGGCAGCAAAGTTCCTTGATTATTACGCCGGAATGAGAGTATAGTTCCTAGCCATATCGGCCTAGAAAATCGCAACTTTTCATTTTCTTAGTACACGATGTAACTACAGAAGAGTCAAGTTTTAAATAGGAAAAATATAGAAACTCTTTGGTCATTTTTGAGCGAGATGTTAACGGTCTAATCAGATTCAATGATCTATGCTAAGCTACAGCTAAAAGTGCTACCGCCAGACCCGGAGATCGGCTGAATGGATTCGAAAACGGTAAAACTCAACTGTTTAACTCTAGGGGAGTTGGAAAATTAGCCTATTTTCAAAAATAGTGGAGTGTTCCTTTAACAACAACCTTACTAACTATTAATAAGCAGCAAATTAGGAATTTACTGAGGCAAAAGTAGTAGTTAATATAGTTAGTTAATAGTGCGAATTGGACCCTAAAATAAAGTGTGACCAATAAAAATAACATTGAAAAAGTAAAAAATATATAATTGTTATTATTATTATTGAAATAACAATTAGTCCATGCTAAATTTAAAACTGCAAAAAGTGAATGAAAAAAAAAACTTCACACTTCACATGAGAGTTGTTCATCATACAATAGAGTATGTCAGGTAGAGCTGCACAGTTCAGAAAATCATATTGCAGTTATTTCAACAAATATTGTGATTTGAACTGCAATATGATTTTCTGAACTGTGCAGCTCTACCTGACACCTGGCAGAGTCGTAATGGAGCTGTATTTGCCATCTGTCGTTGCCATTAACCACCATAATCCATTCACAAACTCCCTGCAAGCAGAGCAACTATTCATGAAGAGGCTTTAACTGTGCAGTCTGTTTTAGCGCCTGCTTCACCTGTTGCTTTAAGCCTCCAAGGTCAACAGACACCTCATCAGGCCCTGAACTGCATCTGCACATCCTCCTCAGACTGCCATGTGTACACACGTTAGTATTGGGCGATATCCTAACTTTAGTGATAGTGAACCAACTCCCGGGTAAGACTAAAAGCAGCCTAATGTATGTTAGTGTAATCTCTTAACTACACATTAGTCAAGCAGCATATGGATGTCATGTCATAAAATATTTTTAATATTACTGAATTTGTATTTAACAATTTAATAGAAACATTGTAAGTTACTAATTATAATGCTTACATTTCCTCGGTTTTTCAAACAGCAGCTACAGAAAACTAGCAAACAACATTTACAATTATCAAAGAAAATCATCACTGATTTCAGTCGACCGTGAGTTTATGCACTTAAAAAAAACACTCCCGTTATAATCAGTGAAGCTATCTACGCTCTATGATGAATAAATCTATTATACTTACATCGCACGTACATCTGCACTTTGTTGTTTATAATGAGAGAATTCGAGAGAGCACAATTCAGTCAGTGAGTGCGCGCACGGAACAACGAGCAGGGTTGCCATGTTTTCACAACAAACCAGTACATTTCTCCACCAGTACAAATTGAGTTCCGGGGGTAAAATACACGTTTTTGGCGGGGTTCATCTGATTAAATTCCAGGGGTTAAATATCAGGTTATTGGGGGTAGTTTCAACCCGCGGCAACAGAAGTAGCCCAATTCCGTGGGAAAACCGCAAATCTGGCAACACTGCTCCGGTGTTTCAGCGATGACTAATCTGAACGCCTCTGATTAGCCATTGCATTCATAAACGATTCAATGGAATCGTGTGTGATTGGTTATAACGCGCAACACTGTAAAAACGCTGAAAAAGACATGTGGAACAAATAAGCCCTAATATTAATTAGATAATAAAACTAGCCTGATAATAATAATAGTCTTGCTATCGTCAAAGGCATCAGCCACAGGCGATACACGATACCGTTTATCTGCACAACCCTAGTACACGTGCTTGCACACTGTGTGTGTTGTTACAGTACCATCAGGTTCAGGTGACAATGGAACGGGCCAGGCCAAACACAGCTTGTGCCCTGGCTCCTATATTTAACAGTGCTCTGCAGGCCCAATGACCTAAATAGTCGTTAACAGATCGGCAACAACCTGATTTTTAATCCTGTGTGCTGGAGTGAAGATCTGCGGCGGGATTATTTGGTTTTATGAGGCCGATAGGAAGGCCGCACCCAACAGCGAAGAGCCCCGTCTTTCACTGGCTCCTGATATTAACGTACCTGGACTTCACTGACCTGCATTCAGGTGCCAAGTGCTCATGACGATTGCGTAAAGTCATTTGAATAAGAGAAAGGCCATTTCACTGACTCGCTATTCATTTTCCAGGACGTCACAACTGGATCATTCAAATGCCTACATAAATATGCATACGCATGCGTAAGAATGGAACAATTATTTTCAGTGTATTCAGCCTCAAAAAGAACATCACTCAACACCTTAACCTTACCTACTTCTTTCTCAAAACAAATGCATTTTAAGTGTAATTATACTCTTTGAATGTCATTAAAAGCAATACACACCCACCAATTGCAACACCTCAATCTAGTAGATAATCTGTCTAAATAACTTGGAAAAACAGTCGATGTGAGCACTACTTGCACGAGAAACATGTCCAAACTCAATTTATGTCAAACGTTGTGCAAGAAATGTGACAAAAGTGTGTGAAAGTAGGTCAGAGATTCCACTTCACTGAATTTAGCTTTTGCACACTTTTGGCACCACACCTTGGTAGTATTTTATGTCTCACTGTTGAGTATTAAATTAACTGTTAAGCTAAATGTTGGACAAACAGGTAACCACAGGGTTTAATTATAACTATGTTGACGTCACAAGTTTTTATGTCCTGTAAACTTAGAAGACTGGTTTTCTGTGATGTATTGAATGCTCTTGCAAATTCCCTCAATAAGTCAGCTCTATTGATGTGTGGGAAGAAGGATCTGCTGTAACTTATAAAATAAATATTTACTCATTTGTGACTCAAAAGCTTAAGTAAGAGCTAGCTTACAATCATTCAGTCACTAAACAACAACAGGGTCATCAGGACTTCGACAAAGCAGAGGGTCTGGTTTCAACCTGAATGGGTTTATTTTTTAATAATGACTGGCTGACTGTAGATTATTCCACTTATTAAATGGCTACTTACCAAAACAACTAAATAATAAATTAACGAAATATTGATTAAATAAACAGACATCAAATACTGATTTCAGCTAAAAATGATTTGTTAAGAACAGATGACAACAGTCAATTAGTTTGGCACTCATTATACAACAATATTGGGTAACTGACCAATAACAATCTATAACTAATATTTCGCATAATATAATACACTTAT